TTCTTAACTCCACCGATGGACTGCTGTTGCTGGGGGGGGGGAATTCCTAATATCCAGCCATTACCTTTCCGACCCTAATTTAAACCCATTATTGCAATAGCGCACGGATCCATTATTGTTTTTTTAAAAAGAGCCTTTCTAAATGATTCCATTGCACATCATCTAGGGAATCGCAACAATGTGGGGTCCTTCTGGGCCTCAGCAGATGAGCCTGGGGGCTCTGGAGCCATCCTTCCTGAGCTAAGACAGAAATGTGTGAGCCGGAGGCTAAAAAAACTGTGAGCTAGCTCACACTAACTCAGCTTAGAGGGAACACTGGTCACAGGCCTTGAAATCGGTATCAGGGGACCTGTACATTTGCCCCAATGTGACCTCTCAAGGTTGTTTTGGAGAAGGAAAATGGCATTGGTTGGTGGGTTGAAAGCCCCCCCCCCCCTACAGTTTTTTAAACTTCCCAGAAAAGGCCTTTTTAATAAAACTTGCTTGGGTTTTGGTTGCCAAGCAACTGGGCCCTGGTATCTCATCTCTCATCATTTTCTCTGTAATTAAAACAACTGGCGGAATGAAATTCATATATATATTGCTTTGTCTTCCTCAAAGGAAAGATAAGCCTCCCTAAAAGCCCCATTTCCCAACTCAGTGAGGATGTGGCGGTGTTCTCAAAGGAAGCTGCAGGGGATGGTGCAAAAACCCCTGGAGGTTGTCGTAGGACTGCAGCGCACAATTTGCTGCATGGCCTGCTATTCGTATGAGATGTGGTGCTCTATTTCCTACGTGGAAAGGTTTTATGTAGGAGCACAAATCATTAGCAGCATTAGAAGGAGAGCTGGCAGAACACAGTGGCTAAAGTGTGAGGGGAGAAGTCAGGGGAAGATAAAAGAAAGTAGCTCTCCACATGTTGCAGGATTAACCTGCGGAACTCACTGCCATGGCAAGTGGTGACAAGCACTACTGTTGACGGCTTCAACAAATTTGTGGAAGATCGATCCATCAATGGTGTTAGAAGAGTAAGAGTAAGATTTATACCCAGCTTTTCCCTACCTTAAGGCGTCTCAAAAGCAGCTTACGATCATCTTTCCCTTCCTCTCCCCACACCTTGTGAGGTAGGTGGGGCTGAGAGAGCTCTGAGAGAACCGTGACTGCCCCAAGGTCACCCAGCAGGCTTCATGTGGAGGAGGAAGAAGAGTTGTTTTTTATACCCTGCTTTTTTCTACCCTAAGCAGTCTCAAAGTGGCTTACAATTGCCTTCCCTTCCTCTCCCCTCAACAGGCGCCTTGTGAGGTAGGTGGGGCTGAGAGAACTGGGACTGGCCCAAGGTCACCCAGCAGGCTTCATGCGGAGGAGTGGGGGAATCAAACCCAGTTCTCCAGATTACAGCCCACCGCTCTTTGCCACTACACCACAGTGGCGCTATTAGCCATGATGGCTAAATGGGATTTCCATAAGCAGGGGCAGTAGACCTCTGAATGTCCATTACCAGGGCTATTTTTGGGCAGGAACGCACAGGAACGGAGTTCCGGCTGGCTCCCGAGTTGGCCACGCCCAGCAGGAACTCATTAGCATAACAGGCCCTGTCCATTACTGAGCAGTAGAGAGAGACTTTTCTCCTCCCTTTGGGGGCATATTTTTTGGCCACTATGGGAAAGGAGTTGTTAGACTAGATGGACCATTGGTCCGTTCCAATGAGATCCTTCCTGCATTCTCCGGTTAAAATCAGCACAAATGCAGGCACGCGACTGTTCTTTCCAGCTTTGGCCCCCAGTTTACAAGACAGTGACAAGAACACTGGCCTGCTCTGCTGACCCGTTGTAAACGTAACCGAGAGGGTGGACACAGAGCAGTTTAACAACTTGAATGTGCCGTAAGAATGCGGGTGGTAGAAAGTGCCGTCAAGTTGCAGTCGACTTACGGTGACCCTGTAGGTTTTTCAAGGCTAGAGACATTCAGAGGCGGTTCGCTTTTGTCCACCTCTGCATAGTGACCCTGGACTTCCTTGGTGGTCTCCCATCCAAGTACTAACCAGGGCCGACCCTGCTTAGCTTCTGAGATCTGACGAGATAGGGCTAGCCTGGGCCATCCAGGCCAGGGTGTGTCACGTTTAGGCGGTGTTCTGCGCTCAGGGCCAGGTGGATTTCCTTGAAGTGGCTCCAAGCCAGTGTAGTCGGAGGAGGAGGAGGAGGAGATTGGATTTATACACTACCTGTCACCATCCGAAGGAGTCTAGAGTGGCTTACAATCTCCTTTCCCTTCCCCTCCCCACACCCTGTGAGGTCGGTGGGGCTGAGAGAGCTCTGACAGAAACTGCTTTTTCAAGAACAGCTCTGAAAGAACTTGTAACTGGCCCCAGGTCACACCAGCAGCTGCATGTGGAGGAGTGGGGACTCAAACCTGGTTCTCCGAGGTTAGAGTCCGTGCTCCTAACCACTACACCAAACTGGCTGTATTTATTGTATCCATATAACTGCATGAAGGAATGCTGTTAGGAAATTAAGTTGATTCTTTGGCTTCAAGAACGTTAACTTTGGGAATCTATTGACGTATCGGTTGCCTCTTTGACGAAGCCCGAGTGAAACGGGAAAATCTGACAGCTGGTGAGCCTGTAATAGGATATGATACAGTGTCTGGCTACTTCTGGAATACTGGATCTTCAGTGAAAGTGTTACATAGCCTTAGGGCAATGTTAAAGACTGTATGAGCATTTCCAGTTTCCTTATTGACATTTGGTAGTGAAACTTACACAGCCCTAGGGTGATGTTAAAAACTGTATGAGTGTTTCCAGTTTCCCCATTTACATTTGGTTGAGTGTCCCTTGAGGTTCCTATCTTTTGTACACGTTTGCAAGATTTTCTATAGGCTGTAAGATTCTCTTATTTATGCACGATTAAGAATAACGAAACATTTATACGCTTGAAAGTTTAATTGTTTAAGCTGTACTTGCCTGATTTTAATATACGAATACCAGTTTGTAATAGAAGCCGTTAGAAATAGCTATATTCCACTAACTTTATTAGAGAGGGAACTTTAATTAAGCTAATGACTAATCATTTCATATGATCCTTGTGTAGCTTAGTTGTTTTAGTCTAGTGTTTTAGTGTTTAGTGTTTGTAGTAAGCAAATAATAAAATATATATATATATAAAAAAAAGAATAACGAAACAGACACAGATATAATTATTGGTTTGGTCTTTGTTTTGACTATATACAGTATGTTTGTCATTTGCCGCGTGATCCACTGTAGATCTCACTTTGATTGGTATAACCTCCAGGTGGTGTCTGGAGATTCCCCCAAAATAACAACTGATCTCCAGGTGACAGAGATCAGTTCACCTGGAGAAAATGGCTGCTTGGAAAGGGGGACTCTATGGCACCGTACCCTGCTGAGGCCTGTAGGGCAGTCCAGGATTCTCCTGGCTGGAGGTTGGGAGCTGAAATGCTTGTACGTCATGAGAGGCCGAGATGGAATCTGTTTACTGCTCACTACGCAGATGGTTTAACCTTGAAGAGGGGGAGCAACTGATAAGAACTTGCCTGAGAGAACTTGAGCACACACACACACACACACACTCATTCCAAAAGGATGCTCTAATGCTTGTAACTCCCTTATGGAGGGA